TTCTGTCTACCGCAGACATGCCATTGAGAATGATTAGCAATGCCAAGCATCAAACTTTGTTCTTCAAAGGCGAGCTCGGAGAACGAAGTTGCCTAGTCGTCTCGGAGGTCTGTTCCCGCATGACCAACGTGTTTCGGTTTGGAACAGTACCCGAGCTCATTTTGCGCGATTCAGATTGACAGTTGTGTATAAAAGACTGGCAGCAGACATATAAGCTGCCTTATCATCCGATATACGATAACTTAGACCAGCAGCAGCCGAATGCATTTGCTTGGATCCAAAAAAGTGGGGAAAGCCTCGCGCACCACGCGACATGGTCACATTGTCTCCCTGATACGATCATAGAGAACTTGAGTTTCGCCATTGATACAATTTCCCCATTTGGTGTTCGCGAGCGTCGTGGAGGAAATTCCACCAGCTGGCCATTCGAGTTGACTTATGCTTCATTATGAAGTAGTTCGGATCCTCACATTCACATCATGTAGGTATGCATGACTCAACAGAGACCCCCACAGTGTTTCACTTTCCAAGCGTTTGAAAGGTTACCCACAACCGCAAAGACGAGTATGAAGACTATCCACCGCAAACCTTCCATAGCAGTTGAATGAAACTTATTTTTGACAAAAAAATGACCGATTTAGGCAAAGTTTTCAAACTAACATTTCCGGTTTATTTTCTCCCGTTTTTCTCAATGTAAACCACGTAGCGCTGCTGGCGTCTGGTATACCTATCAGAATGCATATAAGCCACTCTGCTAGATGACCACAACTCACTCCTTCACTCTAACATGGCGGATAGAGACGAGATGACCCTGGTCGTCAAACTGATCCCACCAAGTCTTCTCGTATGTACGATATTGAGGGAGATTCTTGGTCCAGTCCATGGTGCGTACAGCTCCTGAATGCAAATATGAGATTTGCTATATGTTTAAGGAGATCTCGATCATTGTTGTTACCTTCGATAAGATGCCTATACTTCTCGCAACACACATCAGCAATGATAACCCACTTTTTCGCCACACGTAGCATCTCGTTAACGGTCTCCAAAGCTTGATCGTGTGAAGCGAAATATCTGAGCACTTCCTGAAGGAGCAAGTGAATGAGAGTACCAAGCCTACTGAAAAACGCTGTTGCAGATGAGAACATCCCACGACTCATCAGCGACGCCACTTAAGCTATCCGGCAACATACCTTGAGAAAAATGTAGCGGAATTATGATGACTCAACATACCAACGAAAAAGTTGTCTCTGAACTCCCGTGGAGCTAGTTCTTTCTTTACGAGCCTCACAGTCCTGGGGGCGCCATCACAGCCACCGATGGTGATGTCGGGCCTTTTCAGAAAAGAAGTAGTGAAGACAAGAGTGTCTGGTGACTACATGAAAGCGAGCGCGGCCGATAGGAAGGCCAATACACCGCATCCAGCTTCAAAAACTCGGTCTCCGGACTGGACACAGCCGTCGAGCACATCGCGGACATACCTGTGGGAGTCTGATGGGATGCCGCTACGTTGGAGAAGTTACCTTTCCCACACTTCCTTGTTGTCAAGGTCAACCCAACCTGCGACTTGGTGTAAGTGATTGTAGCGAGATTCCGATGCTAATACATCGAAAGCTTCGAAAACGACTGAGGGCTGATACAACACGAGGACTTCTAGTATTGCAGGGATGTGAGGGGTATTCTTACCGAGTTGTGTTTATTAGAAAGAGGACCTTGAGTGTCACTGGTATCATCAGAAGGGGCAGATTCTAATAGAAAGTTTTCTCAAGGGTTCACCTGCTCTGCAATGGAATCTCACCGACGCTTTTCCTGGCTGGATGCTGGCCGGGCAGCAGGGATGTGGCTCTTTGGCCGTAATGGAACTCACCGAGACAGAATCGTAGGAGGAATGGGATGACTCTGAGGGAATACGGAAAACAGTGTGGGAAAATATGCAAATGATCAACATGTGTTGAGGGCAAAATGAGAATTCCGAGAAAACTAATGAGATTTCCAATGGTTTCTGTATACTTCTACCCGAGTTCACATGTAAACTCTAATAATGAGTGAGGAAACGCCTGAATGCAGCTGACGAGAGCGAACATATATTCTTCCAACACTGACCGAAGGTAACTTGTGCACAGAGTAATGTTTACTTCTCATCGCTACCGGCATGCTCTTCCATGAGGCGTCTGAGTTCCACGACGTTCATGTCGGCTACTGGGCGCCCACCTGTAAGGGCTTTCAGAGAGACTTGCGTGTGAGGCTCGGTATGTCTTTGGCAAGTGCCTGCTGGGTCGAGCTGAGGTAGAGGACGAAACTGCAGGGGTAGAGCACGAACCTGTGCTAACGAGGGTGTGTTTGAGGACAATCTCGCTGAGCCTTTCTCGATCGACCTGAAGGCTCTCAGATAGAATTGTTATGATGGCATCAAGTGACACAGTAGGAGGTGCCTCAGTTGGGCTGGACATGATCCGAAAAGGGAGTGGCACTGATGACCTGAAGACTCCTCGTCGAGGAGACTCCTCGGAGGAGTCCTCGAGTGTAGTCTTTTTCACTAAAGATAATTCAAGGCTCCCTACTCAGTGTTACTCTAGAGTTCGGCATGAACCATTGATTCCCTGTGCGAGACCTGATGTTAATGACCGTAAGCAGTTCGCGTTAACTGCCCATTATTGTTGCGTATTTGCACCAAAACCTTGCGTTTAAGATGAATCGATTATAATGGCGCGCGCTATATTCACCTGAACATTACTTTGTTGACGAATGGCCAAGGAAGTCTTTAAACCGGCTCTACCTTGTAGTGATAGTCGTGTTCTCGTTCAACTGTCCAGCCACTCTCGTTCAGGGCTCATGTACGTAGCAGCTTTCACTCTTACTGAGTTTTTGTGAAGTAGATGACGCCGTCATCATGACGGCAACGCAGCGTTGCCAACGCTGCCTTGAGGCTCGGCTAGATATCGACCTCTTTTAGATGGAGCCTCTCCCCACCGATATTAGGTGATGTGTGAGCCTCTCCCTATGCGACGT